TTATGATATTGTTTCAATAGTTTGCGAACCATATACAAAAGCTTTCTCACCATCTAATATACAGAGAGGATTTCAAGTAGCTGGCATTGAGTTATTTAATCCAGAAATTTTTAAAGATGATGAATTTTTGTCATCATCAGTTACAGATCGTGCTGCTCCAAATGTAGTAAACACAATTTTTGTGGAACCTGAAATGACTGTAGCACATGTTGATGGCATGGAGCCTGAAATGCCTGTAGTACATCATGAAACAAGTTTTTCGAACAAAGTGTCACCAAGCATTGCTTCATTACTCTCACCTGAAGTTTTGAAACCTTACCTGAAAACATCTGCTAGAAAAAGAAGTGTTAAAAGTAGGCAATTAAAAACAAGGATTTTGACTGATACTCCAATCAGAAATGAAATTCGTTTGTCAGAAGAAAAGAAAACCCTAAAACAAATCAACCAACAAAAGAAACTCATCGCAAAAGATAAAAAAAGGGGAAAAGTTAAAAACTACTTGCTTAGGAACAAAAAACAATGTAATGTAAAAGCAGCATCACGACTTGACTTTGACAAAGAATGATAATATAAAAAAATAATCTTGTAAACTTTAGTTCTAATAAAAATCTTGTATGAATCTTGTATTTTCTTTGTAAACTTAAAATACTGTATTCTTATAGACTTTAGCTTCAAGTTTTGTAAAACTTAACACATATATATGTTAGTAGTATATAACGGGCTTATTTTCATTCATAGAATTGTGGTTATTCTTCTAATGTAAACTTTATACACTGGTGTATATTAAGTTGCAATGATATATATATATATATATATATATATATATATATATATATATATATATATATATATATATATATATATATATATATATATATATATATACATATATTATATGTTTTAAATTTTACTTTTTTTTTTAGATGTATTATATAATATACACTAATACCCTTCAACTAATGCATTTGTAGCACTTAGGTATAGCAGTATTAAATGTGTAAATAATGTTACTCATATAAGATCAAAGCACTCCATATCGGAGATCATAGTACCCCACTGCATGGGGTACATTGATCTTTTGCAAGGGTTGTTGTAATGTTGAACAATACCATGTTCATTAATGTTTTTTTTTTAAACATTTATTTTTACTTAAAGACAGATTGTTCTAGTTTAGTTTAGTAATTAATAAGTTTTTATATCTAGATCGGGTTGTTTGCAGTTTTCAAAATACTGCAACGGCGATCAATGCGCCCCCATCTCCCCTAATATATTTTCTAAAGTATGTACCATGATCTTTACAACAAAATGAAATTTTAGTTATAAATTCTAAAAGTATACCAAAAATACATACTAAAAAAACTAAAAGCAAACATCTAAAATACATTGCACAATAAAAAGATATCTTAAAGAAAAATGAGTTAACCAGCGCCTCTGGTTAATCCAATAAAAACATAACATTTCAGTAAGAAACCCATTTAACAACATAACTTAAAAAATATAAATATTTTGACAATAAATTATTTTAAAATACTCTTGTAAAATGCAATATTTACAGCAGGCATATACTTGAACATACATTGAAGGACCTTGCTTATATCATTTTCTATTTAAACAAGCTGATTCAAGGCAGAAAACATTAGTACCACTGTCATGACTAAGATCGTAGATTGTTAATTCATACTTTTGAACAAACATTAGAACATGACTTTCTGTAATATACATGATCTGAATGCTAGATGCTTTATCTGGATATAGGGAACAAGCCTAGAATTAAAATAGTCTGCAATAGCTGAAAAATGTTGAAACCCAATTTCTTCATTTGCTAGACAGAAAAAAAACTATTTTTTGAAGAGCAGGAATTGCTCTGATTAAAGCAAGGGACTATATATTTCAACAGGAGCAAGTACTCTATCAATTTAACTGTGGATATTATTAACCTAATTAACCTGTATTAATTAACCTAATATTAACCTGTATACTAAAATTCGGTTGTCTTAAACTTTTGTTAAATTGCTCTGATTTTTGGGTAACACAAACTAAAAATCAACAAATACGTGTTCATTTTTTATCACTGATATTTTTGTGCCTTTAAATTTACAAGAATTTAAGAGGCTTTCTTTTTGGTTATAGACTTGCATGAAACATTTTTTCCCTTTCTATTTTTATACGGCTGATCAGATTGTCTTAGCTGCTTTCTCAAATTCTGTGTCCAAGTTTTGGGTGCTGACTTTCTTTTCCTAGTATTTCCTCAACGATAGAGCATGCGAAAAGGAGTGCTAATTTAGGATTATCCTCATGATAACCAAGAATAGTCAGATCAGTCTCTGAAAAATAAATGTGTGTATGTCTGTGTGTGTGTGTTTGTGTGTGTGAACACTAACATATTTTACCTTGAAGGTTTTGTTGTTGTTTTTCTGTAATAAAAACATCCGCTACCATTTTGGCATAAATAACTTTTGATTGGATAAAACGGAGAGAGGACATTTTAATTTTAAGTTATAAACAGGATTAAGGATATAGAATAAAATGCAATGTCATGTATAGTAAGTTAATTTTTTTTTTTACTGAATTTTTGTAAAAAACAAATATTTTATCCATAAAAAGAAAAAAAATTGATCTAACTCAATTCTATCTGATTTGTGGAGATAGAACAAAATAATTTTAACTTCGCGAAATGTAAAATTGCATTTTTAATAAAACTTTTTTAATAAAACAAATTTTGACTGGCCGAAATTTCGGTGTCGGTTTCGGTAAAATATTTGCCAAAACCTCAGTTTTGGTTTCGGCACCAAATTTGAGTACCCGAAATTTCAGTTTATTTCGGTTTCGACTTTTCTTCTGTTTCGGTCGATCACTAGATATAACGTTTTAATTGAAGTATATTCATCAGCAGTTAAGCTGTTAGCTTTCATGTCTTTTAATTTAGTCGTCAATTGAGGAATGGACTTGCAAAACCAGATAATTCACTGTTTTTTAAAAAAAGACTTATCAATGTTTTTTTGTAGTATTAATATTCCTACATCTTTACAAATAAAAGTTAAATTTAAAAGCAACTATTTTAATAACATTTTACCTGCCTATAATTAATTTATCCGAGTAAAACCGGATAAAAAAATTATTGTCAAAATAAGACAAAAATTTTATCTTATCAACATTCTGTTTTAAAAACTTTTTATAAAAATGGAAGACATTTTTTTAAGAAAAAAACATATACAAAAGAGTTCACTAAAATCACAAAAAGCCACTCTTAAACAGTTACAATTGAGTTTTATTTTCATCAATCCTATAAAAGTATCAAACATTAAAATTACTTATTTTCTAAGGCAGAGGGACGTTTTGCAGAGTTATATTGATTTTTAAAATTGTCACTAGTCAAGTTGACTTCATAAAGCTATTTTGAAAACTAGTTAGAAACAAATTTCCAATCAAAACCAGATAAGAAAAAAAATTGACAAAAACATTTTTTTATTTTCTAATAAAAAATAAGATAAAAAGAGCACAATTTTCAAATCTTTGTCTTTAACATTTTTTTAATGATTTATTGTTTAGCTTTTAATTTTTTAATTTTTAGCTATTTGATTTACTGGAAAACATTTTTTTCCATTATCTCAAAATGAAAAAAAAGAGAATTATCTGGTTTTGCAAGTCCATTCCTCAATTGAGCCTGTTAGTATAGCTATACTAACAGATCACATTGTAATAAATGAACTTTCATTTGGCGCTGTTGCTAAAAGTAAGAGATTGTGAGTATTTGCTCTAGCCAAAGACACAAAGTACCTTCTAATTTAATTGCTATTAGAAATATTTAACTGGCCCATGCCAAAAACATAAGACATTTATGTATAAGACTTTTAAAAGGCGTCTTTTTTACGTCCGTGCCCACTGGGTTGCCACTATATAGTGGCAATCCAGTGGGCACGGACGTAAAAAAGACACCTATTTAAATAGTGGCATCCCACTGGGTTGCCACAATATAGTTTAAAAACTCTCTCCCTTTCGGTTTTTTGGTATAAGAAAACTTTGCCAATTGCTGGCCATTAACCATATACTAACCATTCTTAGAACTTTTCTCCACTGAAAGCAGTAGTGCTAGTTGGATTACAGAAGAATATAAACTCAATGTTAGAAAAGTTAATTTAAGGTTGTTAACTAGTAAGCAACGTATGTTTGTAGATTTGCTGTTGTAATTGCTTTTTTTTTTTTTAGTAGGAAATAGTATTAAATATGAAAAGACAAACAAATAAAGGTATATTAAAAAATCTAAAATCAATTAAACCAAATTTAAGGATAGGGGAGATGGGGGTGCATTGATCGCCGTTGCAGTATTTTGAAAACTGCGAACAACCCGATCTAGATATAAAAACTTATTAATTACTAAACTAAACTAGAAAAATCTGTCTTTAAGTAAAAATAAATGTTTTAATAAAAAACATTAATGAACATGGTATATTTCAACATTACAACAACCCTTGCTAAAGATCAATGTACCCCATGCAATGGGGTACTATGATCTCCGATATGGGGTGCTTTGATCTTATATAAGTAACATTATTTATGTTTTAATAAAAAAATAGATGAACATGGTACATTTCAACATTACAACAACCCTTGCAAAAGACCAATGTACCCATGCAATGGGGTACTATGATCTCCGATATGGGGTGCTTTGATCTTATATGAGTAACATTATTTACATGTTTAATACTGCTATATATTAAGTGCTACAAATGCATTAGTTGAAGGGTATTAATGTATATTATATAATACATCTAAAAAAAAGTAAAATTTAACACTTCTTTTTCTAGCAGATGCTTTCGGGTAAGATTTTAAAACTTCAGGTGAGAGTAATAAAGCAATACTTGGTGACACTTCGTTCGAAAAACTTGTTTCATGATGTGCAACAGTAATTTAGGCTCCATGCCATCAACATGTGTTACAGTCATTTCAGGTTCCACAAGAATTGTGTTTACTACATTTGGAGCAGCACGATCTGTAACTGATTATGGTAAATATTCATCATCTTTAAAAATTTCTGGATTAAATGACTCAATGCCAGCTACCTGAAATCCTCTCTGTATATTAGATGGTGAGAAAACTTTTGTATATGGTTCGCGAACTATTGAAACAATATCATAAATGGTCATAGGTCTTGGATATGTGATCATCCAATTATCACACGCAGCATTGTAAAACCTTTTCAATGGTCCAAAAACAGTTCTATCCAATGGTTGCAATTTATGGGTACAATGGGGAGGAAAACTTAGCATTGCAATTCCATTTTGAATTGCAAGATCCAAAGCTCTAACAGAAATATTACTTTTATGGCTGTCCAGAAGTAACAAAACCGGAGATTCATGAGAACAGTTTAAATACCTCACAAAATATTTTATCCATTCTATAAAAATGTCTGAATTCATCCAACCAGAAGGATTTGCAAATCCCAGGCATCCAGGAGGACCTTCCTTTATCATGTAATCATGAAATTTGACCCTAGGAAAAACAAATAGTGGAGGAATAGAGTTTCTAATTGCATTTGAAGCACAACATACAGTTGCTAATGTTCCTCATTCTGCAGATGTGATTCTTCCTACTTGCTTACTTCCTTTACCTGCTAACACTCTTACTGGCTTTTGTACTGTTGTTAAACCAGTTTCATCAACATTATATATCCAATAAGGATCAAACTTATCGTATTGACTTAGTTGAAAGTTCTTAGTTCATTTTTGATGCAAGTAGTAAATAACTTGACAAACTTTTTTCATCTTCTGCAGTAAAAACCTGTTTATTGTTGTAATTAGGCTTAAAAGATTCATTTGAGTTGAGCTTCTTTTTATTACAATATCTTTTTAAGGTCATTCGATTTATGCTAAACTTGCGAGCTACAACATTCACTGGTCTGCCCTCTAAAACTTCATTAACAGCTGATTTCTTTGTATCACATGATATAGCAACTCTGTCTGTTTTTTTTTCTATACCTAATCATTTAAAGATCTGAAAATTTAAAAAAAAAAGGAAAATAAAATGATTGTTTAAAAAAATATATTTTATATAATAATATTTTGTAAACTAATTGTAAAACTTATGTAAAACTAAAAACTAATGTTATTAATATTAGTTTTTAACAATATTATATTTTAAAAATGAAATTTTAAAAGTTTATATAAAGATTTTTTATTCGTCATAAGTTTAGATGTATAAAGTTTAAACAAAAATTTAAGTCTTATAATATAAGTTATATGGGGCACTTTGATCTTCCAATCAATGAGCCCCGCACAGTCAACGATCAATGTGTCCCATTAGGTACAGTTGATATATTGATGCCAATAACTTCTATAAATACAGTAACCAACTCAAATAAACAAATTTATTATAAACTTAACACATATGAGTTTACAATAAATTGGTTGTAAAGTCATACGGAAATCTAATTAAAAATTTATTTGAATTTATTTACAACTTTCAAAAATCACTTTTCATGATGAAAAACAGTCTTTTCAATTTTCTTACCGCTGAAGTTGATCTTATCAAAAATTTTTAACGATTAAGCAATGAATGTTATAATGGTTAATTAAATTGCAATCTCTATTATATTAAGGCAAAAGTAAACGAGTAAAAGCTAAAAGATCATACTGCCCCGGCGATCAATGCGCCCCCATCTCCTCTAATAATAAACTCAAGTAATGGATATAGTCTAACATGAAATTAGCAATACATGCAGTTTTACGTGAAATGTTTCAGCAAAAAGCAAGCACAATATATTAAGTTTCACAATCGACTCTGCAAACCATGATCTATGGAAAGTCTAAAATAGAAGAAAAACCAGGCGAAAAGCCAATTCTAGGTAATCTTGAACAAAAATTTGATTATGTTGGTAATCGTGCCTAAATGGGTTTCGGTTTCGGTAAAAAAACATTCATTGATTATGCTGTTATGTTGGCAAAAAAACATGAATTAAATTTTAAAAATGGTAAACCTGGTGAAAAGTGGTGGCAACTACTTAAAAAGAAATATGGTGTGAATCTTTGTTGTCCAGAACCAATAGCTTCTGTGCAGGGCAAAAATTTCAAAATATTTCAAAACATTGGAAGGACTGATGCAAAATAAGAAATCATTCGACAAACCAGAATGTATTTGAAACATGGATAAAACAGGAATACAACTAGAGCATAAACCAAAGCGTGTTGTTGCAAGAAAGGGTTTAAAATACATTCAGAATTGAACAAGTGGCAACTTAATCAACTCTGAACAATGCAGCTGGTCAAGTCATACAACCTCATATAATAGTGGAAGGAAAAAAATTTTATGTTTGAAAAAACATTTCTTCCAAATATTAGTTCTGCACGATCACATATTTTGATTCTAGATGGACATGATTCTCACAATTTCATTGATATGATTGAGCTATCTGTTTTGAACTAAATTGAAATAGTAGAACTTCCAGCTCACACCAGCAACTGGTTTCAGTCTTGTGACAGAAAAATTTTTAAGCCACTGAAAAATGCCTATTCTGATGTCTGTCAAACAATGATGAATGACTACCCAGGGGTCACGGTTTCACGTTCTAACTTTTGTGGTTTATTTTCAAAAACATGGAAATGTGCCATGTGACTGATTTAAATATATACTTAGGATTTCGTGCTTGCGGAATTTATCCTTTAAATCTAGATGTTATTCCAAATGAGGCATATATCCTAAATATCTTATATAGTATAGTTTCAGATATTGCGTTAGTAGTAGCTTGTGAAAAAAGTGATAATTGAAAAATTAAAGAACTTAAAAGATAAAAAAAATTGTACTAAAATTTAGCTCAAATATCAAGTATGTCAAGTATGTCACCAATACATGAAAGAAAGAAAATCATGTTTTATAGCAATAAGTTCTTTTACGTTTCTTTGAGGTTCATTATCTGTACTTAACATATAATGAATTAATATGAATTAATTGTATTGATTTTATGCTGTTTTTTCTTTAGATTTGTTTTATTTTCTAAATAATTACATTGTAATAAATAACACCGATAGAACTTTAAGTTATCTAAAATTTGATATATGGTATGAAATATATACTTCAGATATTATCTGCAATTCTTGTAAAAATATGGCCAATAATTGGCGAAGTTACCATATAATATCTTTATATTCTATTGCAAGAGTTCCATGTCAAACACGCACAAATAAGCCCTACTATTAAGTTGAATAAAAAATAATCTCTAGTGGTATAACCAAGGAGTAATAGAATGGTGGGAAAACGAAGCCGAAAAATGTTTAAAATAATAGCACAGTCTTTGTTGTAATCAAAATGGTTACTTGTTTAAATTGACTGGGTAAGTTTTTAACAATTGTTCCAACTATCAAGTAGTAATTACAACAAAAATCATGATCTATGTAATCGTTTTTTAAATACCTCGATACTAGGTGTAAATATCAAAGTTTTAGACAATCTCTTCTACTTGGTTAAACCTTACCTTTTGATTCCATGTTTAGCTATAGGTACAGTTTATAGGTACAGTGTAGCTACAGTGTACAACTGTAGCTATAGGTACAGTTTACAGCAAATAGGAACAGTTTTAGTAGAACATAATTTTCTATTGAACAACTCTATATTTATATCTTTATATTTAGAGTATAGCAACTTGTTTTTAAATTCAGAAAAAATACTAAAACACAAAATAAAATCCTTATGAGATATAATAAGTTCCTTGCCAAAATAAAAACTCTTTAAGAATGTAACATTCAATTAAAATATAGGGGAAAAAATGTGGTTGCTAGCATTAAAAGACTTTCTAGTATGCTATAAATAGATCAAGTCAAAGTCTCAAATTTTGAAAAAATAAGTTTTTTCTTTTTATTTTTTTAATGAAAATTAATGGAGTTACTCTAGCACAAAAGGAACGCGTACAAAGAAAATCTCTGGTTAAACGTACAAAGAAAATAATGCCCTTAATAAACATAGAGACTCGAAAGAAGAGGTGCAAAACGTTCACTAGTATTAAATGGAAATAACGAAAATATAAACTACACTCTTCTCAATTACGTTAACGTCAAAATCAAAGAATCGACTCTATGATGATTAAATTAAACGAGACCCAACAAACACACTTGACACAATATCACCTTCTGATTGGATAAAAAGGAATCAATTTTTGCCGTAAATCGATGAAATTTTTGTTTTTCACATTAAAAAATATGTGGTCATTAAGTTTTATGTTTGAATGGCCACAGTACACACGTGTCATTTAGTGTAGCCTTGAAGTGTACAGAAAACAATATAATACTAATTTTAATTCCTGTCCATTTATTCCATATTATGGAGCCTCTTGATGATGGCGCGTTTTGCCATGTCAAAGTTGTTTGGCATAATATTTTCCGAAAACATTATGTTGCAAGTGGTTTCAGCAATTTGTCTAAAATAGTTTTCCGAAGTCTCCTTGGACAATTGTAAAGTTGCAACAAAGCTTACACTCGTACATAAAGCACAGGGCTCTTTCCATTAAATACAGGCAACATTGACAAATCAAAGAAACAAATTTTTCCAGCTTTTAATAACACCTTAACAACATCATCAGCAATTATAAAATCACCACCCAGCCCAAATTTTTTGCCTCAAGCTGTTCAACAAACACAAACCTTAATTCCGCCTGCAACTCCAACGTTAACCCCAACTGCAACACTAACTTCAATTCCAACTTTAAATTTAACTTCTGAAGAAAGATTAGCGACACGTGCGAATATCCGTCTTTAAAGAGGTCTCTTGAAGCAACTACAGTACCAAAATCTCTAAAACATCCTGCAAAAAAGCCAGAAATATCAGAACAGTGGTTGGTCAAGCTTTTGAGAAGAAGCATGGTAGTTAAGAGAAGAAGAAAATGCAAAATTATTAAAACAAACATAGTTTGAAATTGCAGCAGCATAAGCAGCAGTTGAAATTACTGCCAAGAAACCAAAAAAAAAGGATAAGAAGTGTAAAAAGTGCCCAAAGATTTTTGAAAATAAAAAGCCGGAGATGCAATTTTTATGGATAACCTGTGAAAATTTCAAGTTGTAGTTTGTTGCTCTGTGAGCCTTGTCTCCAAATAAGATTTTTAAAAGGCGAAAAACTCATTTGCACAAAAACTTGCAGAACCTAGTTTATAAATTTATTGTTTTTACTTCAAGATTAAGCTTGCTTATGTTTTGTGTTTGTATTATCATTCTGTATATATTTTAACGTTTAAAAAAATATACGTTAAATTTATCAATTTATTTATGTTTTTTCAAATAATTTGGAACTGACTGCTTTTACGAACATTTTTCCGAAAAACGCACATTTTTTACAAAAATAAAATTTTATTTTCAATAAAAACTTTAAATTTGTTTTTTAATTTTTTTTACACTGCAAAATTGCTCTAAAAACAACTATATTTCAAAAGAAAAAAATACTTAGTTTAAAAAATTATTTAGTTTTTGTGAAGAATTCCGGTTTGCAGTACTTT